AAAAAAAAAAAAAAAAAAAAAAAAACAATACTGGTTTTACATCAGAGACTTGGTTAATCAATGCATATTTGAGTAGACAGTGGGTGCCTGGCCCTGTAATCTCCTCTCATTTGGGGCATTTTCTGGTTCCTTCAACAACACAGTAAAATGGGCAATTGTCCTTGTTTTAAAGACCCTTGGAACGATACAACTAAATCGTTGTTTGCTAAAGAAATATAATTTAAAAGCCTCTCAGAATGCACTTCAGTGGATACTTATATCATTTGACGGCAACAAAGTGATAAATAGTTCTTCAGAAATCTGCCAGTGGTATTTTGAATATTGAATGTAGTGAGTGTTTGAAGCAAAAATCCAGATTTTTTTCCTCTTCCAAATAGGCGCCTGGTTTCAATAGTTACCTCTGTGCTTGACTTTTAGTAAGTGCCCTTCAGGTGCTGTCGTATTATAATTCCTCCAGGAACTGTGTCTTTGATTTCAAAGGTTCTGCGTAGTCTCAGCACAGAGCTGTAGGATGATGTTGGTGCTGTGCCCAGAACCCTCAGATCCTGCCCTGTTGGTTTTGGCACTTTCCTGTCTGTCCCACAGCACCTGCTGCGACCTCAGGCTCCTTGAGTCTGCTTTGCCTGAAAGCACAGAGAACCTGTGGGAGCGCCTGGAAATTTGTACCCTCAGTTCCTCCTGCACCTCTCAGTCAATGGCAATAGCTGTGGTAGTGTGACAGCCCAATGCCCTTGTCTCCATGTGGGACAACCCTGAGGAGGAACTAAGGTTCCAGAGCCCCAGTGCAGAGTCAGGCTGAGGTGAGACTTTGCCTGGTTTGCATGCTTGTTTGGGTTTCTTCCCTTCCCCTTCTTGTTTCTTTTTTTCCTCTTACCAGTTTCTTGAGAACATGTCCTTAATTGTTCATTTGCACACACCAGTCTTCATCTTGGGGTCTGCTTCTGAGGAAACTGATCTAAAAAATACTCTGTCACCGTGTTTCCCAAACTGAGTATTAAAATGCTCTGAGGCTGCAGAGAACTTGCAGAAGCTGTATGGGTTTTTTTGTTTGTTTGTTTTGTTTTGTTTTGTTTTTGGAGATAAAGTCTCATTTTGTTGCCCTTGGTAGAGTGCTATGTCATAGCTCACAGCAATCTCCAGGTCTTGGGCTCAAGTGATTCTCTTGCCTCAGCCTCCTGAGCAGCTGGGACTACTGCTGCCCACCACGACAACTGGCTGTTTTTAGAGATGGGGATCTCACTCTTTTTGAGGCTGATCTTGAACCCGTGAGCTCAGGCCATCTACCCGCCTCAGCTTCCCAGTGTGCTAGGATTACAGGTGTGAGCCACTGCGCCTGGCCAGTATTTTAAATTTTCTTTTTTTTTTGAGACAGAGCCTCAAGCTGTCC